CATTCATGTCCTGCATTAAACAGTGTGTAAATGCATCTAAATGCCCCTTCTAATGCAGCTTCTGTGTTTCCTCTGCATTGCAAAGATTAATTTTGTCAATACTGATTTTGGACTGGTAACAGCCCAAATGATTTATTATTCTAATTGATTGATTCAATTTAAGAATTTGACTGAAAAGATGATGCACACTTTAGAAATTGCTTTATAAAGGTAAAAATGCCCATAAAAGGTAAAAATCAATTTAAACTTATTGGAAAATTTCAATTTCCATCACTGCTGTGATCACCACACAGAATATGCAGAATATCAAAAACTTTAGGAGTCAGCTGTCCACTGTAGTCCTTAAGATATCAGCACAATAACACACTCGGCAAAATGTTGTCTAATTATTGTTATCGATAAAATCCCAGAAAATATCGAGATATATTTTTTGTCAATATCACACACCCCTAATATATTTAAAATTTTGTTTAGGAAAAAATTTAAATAAATATGAGAGGTGCCCTTTTTTCCACTTGAGCCCCTGCCCCTCAAAATGTCTGTGCACGTCCCTGCTACTGATGATGCAGTTTGTTTTATGTGAGCTGTAGGTTCTGCTTGTTAATGTGTTTTGTGTTGCAGCTCCAGTGGTGAAGATCCGTCAGAGTTTGACCAAGCTGAAGCAGGAGATTGAGCAGATGGATGTTTGGATGGGAGTGGTGGAGCACACGTTACTACAAGCCAAACTCAGAGAGAAAAACAACATGACCAGAGACATGCATGCGACACACCTCTTAGAGCCCAACACACAGCCTTACTGAGTCTCACACTCTGGTGATGTTGTATGTGTTGGTTACATTTTATATAAATATTTTGTTTAAATAAGTTTTTAAGTGTAAATAGCTAAATATCTAGTATTGAACAATAAAATAAATATTCTTACTATTAGAACTTTTGCTCTCAAAGTTTGTAGAAGTTTTAACTTACGTAACTGTCTCCAGAGAAAGAGAGAAGGATGTTGGTAATAGAGGCCCCTGAGCTGCAGGGGCGTGTCTACGTGGTGGCCAGGGGTGGCACCGGCCCCCCCTGAAATTTGGCTGGCCACCCCAGGTGCCCCCCCTACCAGATGTCTTGCGATAGGCTGGCGCGAGGACGACTGGTGCCCAGTGCCCCCGACTGGTCCCCCCATTTAAAATGCTATAGACACGCCCTTGCTGAGCTGAGCATTACACACACATGCCACTGTTCCATGATGTCATCCTCACACTGCAGAATAACACTAGAGATTATTCTGGTCTGCTTTAGTTCATTTACACATACTCAAGTTATCAGTCCACATTCTGAGGAAACGTTTGTTGAGTCTGTGTTCAGCCTAGGAACAATGAACTTTTTGTAATTTTGTTGAATGACAAATCCTAACTGTGATTCCAAATTATTAATAATAATCCCATGAACCATCTACAAATTTACAACTTGTAACTGACACAGGCACTAAAAGCTTAAATAAAATAAAATGTTACAGGTTTGTGTCAGTTGCCTGTTGAACTCAGAAGCTATTTTGAAGAATGTGGGTAACCATATAGTTGATGGTAGCCATTGTCTTCCATAGAATGAAAAATATATATATACTATAGGTCAATTGCTACCGCTGACTGTTTGGTTACACACATCCTTCAAAATATCTAATTTTGTGCTCAAAAGAAGAAAGAAACTCATACAGGTTTGGAAGGACATGAGGGTGAGTAAATGATGACAGAATTTTCATTTTGGGGCGAACTATCCCTTTAAACGATGTTAGACTCTTGTGCAGAGTGACTTTCAAATATAAGAACTTAATTATAAATACTAATGCATTCCTACTTGTGCACTATATGCACAAGTATGTGAAATTATGTATTAATTTGATCAAATATGTTTGCATTTCTGGTGCACTACTGTATTCTTCAGAGAAGTTTTGTTTTGAACAGCGTCCCCTCCTCCCTCTCCCTCTCCCTCTCCCTCTCTCTCTCTCTCTCTCTCTCTCTCTCAGTAGGCGTGGTTCTTCATGCATGTCAGTGTTTGTAGGTAAGCGGGCAGACTTGATCCGCACCGCTAAATTATCCGCATTCTCCGCGGCTTAGGTAAGATGTTTATATCTTGTTTCTGAATCTTAGTTTCATATGTTCTGCACAGTAGAAGCAGCACATTCAGCGTTAAAGAATGTGGAGAAGAAGAAACCGGATGTTAGTATCGCATTACGCTTCGGCATAATCACTTAATAGCCGATATGACCTTTATACACTGTGAAATTTTTGATTTATTAAATTATACGATTATCATAGTAAAACTCCGCTTTATATATGAGTGAATGTTTCTCGCGCATCACGTACCTGCTTCGGTCCGCGCAACAAAGACTCGAGGAGCGTCGCGTCTGAACGCAGAATTAAACTACAGACTTCAGAGCATGAAAATAATGTGGACACCAGATTTCGCATAAATATCACACCAGACCAGTATTTATTCTGAGTAAAATAAGATAAATTATTCTGATATCTCCTTTAAAATATTCTATTATTGTTATTATTACTATTATTAAGTCAAATTATTTATGAAAGGTAGACCATAGACTGTAAGGTAGGCCAGACCATTTTATTTATTAATAAAAACTACAAAGTAGACCAAAGTACGTAAAGATTAAAAAAATAAACAGATAAATCTTAGAAAACATAAAACCACTAAAAGAATTGAGAAACAGACATTACGTCATCAATCGTTTTAATAACAGAATTAACTAATTCAATGTTTGCAAATTTGTACAATATGCTGCAAATAAATAAATTCTCTTCAGCCATATATGTTAAATCACAATCACAATTTCTTATTAAATAAGTGAGGACACAAGAAATAAAGTAATAGAAATAGATAAATTATGAAATAATAATTGCCAGAAACAAATTGTTTATTTATATTTTGAGCTCTGTTTGTGTGTCGCTATGCATGTGTGGTTTTGTGCTTTGTTTTCCTTGTTTTTATGTATTTGCAACTTTCAGTTATGCTAAAAAAATGTTTTTCTTAATCTTAAAGTCAATTCGTGTTTCTAGCTCACAGAGACTACAGGAACTGAGTGTAAGGGGTTTTGGGGACTGATCAGTAGGCGTGGTTCTTCATGCATGTCAGTGTTTGTAGGTAAGCGGGCAGACTTGATCCGCACCGCTAAATTATCCGCATTCTCCGCGGTTTAGGTAAGATGTTTATATCTTGTTTCTGAATCTTAGTTTCATATGTTCTGCACAGTAGAAGCAGCACATTCAGCGTTAAAGAATGTGGAGAAGAAGAAACCGGATGTTAGTATCGCATTACGCTTCGGCATAATCACTTAATAGCCGATATGACCTTTATACACTGTGAAATTTTTGATTTATTAAATTATACGATTATCATAGTAAAACTCCGCTTTATATATGAGTGAATGTTTCTCGCGCATCACGTACCTGCTTCGGTCCGCGCAACAAAGACTCGAGGAGCGTCGCGTCTGAACGCAGAATTAAACTACAGACTTCAGAGCATGAAAATAATGTGGACACCAGATTTCGCATAAATATCACACCAGACCAGTATTTATTCTGAGTAAAATAAGATAAATTATTCTGATATCTCCTTTAAAATATTCTATTATTGTTATTATTACTATTATTAAGTCAAATTATTTATGAAAGGTAGACCATAGACTGTAAGGTAGGCCAGACCATTTTATTTATTAATAAAAACTACAAAGTAGACCAAAGTACGTAAAGATTAAAAAAATAAACAGATAAATCTTAGAAAACATAAAACCACTAAAAGAATTGAGAAACAGACATTACGTCATCAATCGTTTTAATAACAGAATTAACTAATTCAATGTTTGCAAATTTGTACAATATGCTGCAAATAAATAAATTCTCTTCAGCCATATATGTTAAATCACAATCACAATTTCTTATTAAATAAGTGAGGACACAAGAAATAAAGTAATAGAAATAGATAAATTATGAAATAATAATTGCCAGAAACAAATTGTTTATTTATATTTTGAGCTCTGTTTGTGTGTCGCTATGCATGTGTGGTTTTGTGCTTTGTTTTCCTTGTTTTTATGTATTTGCAACTTTCAGTTATGCTAAAAAAATGTTTTTCTTAATCTTAAAGTCAATTCGTGTTTCTAGCTCACAGAGACTACAGGAACTGAGTGTAAGGGGTTTTGGGGACTGACTTTCTGTTCAAACACAAACATAAGTTGCAGAAGTGTGTCATGTGATCATTCTGGGAACAGATTTTTAAGAAAAACAAATGAGCTGCTTTGTGTGTGTGAGAGAGAGAGAGAGAGCGAGAGAGAGAGAGAGCATGTGTTATTGTCCTCCCTCTTTCTTTGCCGTTAGTCTCCACTGCTTCTCTGATAGCAGCTGCCGCGCACACATGCACAACACTCTGTTCAGCCAATCAGTTTATTTCCAGCCAGGAAGTGGTTAACAGGAAGTACAGTAACTGGTCTCCACCTACTTTGCCAGCATCATCCCCATTTCGATCATAATGGCTCCCTGATTCCCCTCCCCATCCCACTCCCTTTACATCCTGACAGACACCCCTCCCCATTTTTTATTAAATGATTCATTTTATTTCATGAAATACATTTATTTTTGAACATTTGATCTATTTTACACAAACATTAACAAGAAAAAAATACTTAAGGAGACAGTTATAAAGAATATATAAGTAGTATAAATAATAGCCGTTCCTCTCATTTGGCCTCATTTCTTTGCATTGCACAAAAGAATGCCTGTAATTCAATTTCCATATAATCTATATTGCATATTTAATTCTTAACCATTTATTTTTTGTTTTCAATTTTTTAGTGATTTAAAAAATATATTTTTATTTAGAAAAATGTACACATATAGTTATTTATTTTATTATACTTATACACTTGTTATACTTATATATCATTAATTTGTCATTTTCATTCTTTACAATCATCATTCATCATTACTTGTTTATTAATATATATATGTCAATATATAATTATTTATATTTATTTTTTGCTTTTGTTTGATCTTTGTTTTATTTATTTATTTGCACAACCTTAATGTGGTGCAAGCAATTATTCACGAAAATCAATGTGAAGATATAAATAAATAAATGATTTCAAAAATAATAGTTCAAAAATTGTTTCACATGAGCAATACACATTTGTAGATATGTACAATCATTATTACAGGTTTATAAATATATCAGTATATGATCATTTATATTTACGTTTATTTTTTGCTTATATCTTATCTATGTTGTATGTATTTCTTGTTGCAGAACCTTAATTTTTGCACAAAGAATTATTCAATAAAATCTATGTGAAGTAATGTGAAGTAAAAAAAGAATAATAGAAATAGTTCAAAAATTGTTTCACATGAGCAATACACATTTGATCAATTATGTACTATCAGTTTCTTTGAGCAGAATGTTATTTTGTGGTTATTATTACAGGTTTAACAGCAGCGTGAGCCATGTCTTTCTTCTTCAAAGGAGCGATTACAAGTATGTATGCCCTCATATCACGTCTCTCTCTCATTCTTCCTCTATCTTGTGCACACATTCTTTGATAAGACTGACCTGACCTGATGTTTGTCATAGGTTCTCCGGTTAAGACCAGGAGGCAGGAGGCTGAATATATTTGTCACAGGTACAGACATGTAGACAAACATCAGCAACGTATATTTATAAGCTTTTCCTTGTTATTTTCTTTAAGTATATGTGTAGTGCTTGTTTATGCGTCTGTAAAAAATGTGTGTGTACATTGATGCTGTTTCTCTCTTTCAGTCTTGACGTTTCCCACTTCTCTGACTCCTCCTTTGAGTGTTTCTCCACCAATCCGCTGACAGGCTCCGTGTGCGCATGCCGCCGAAGCCCCCGCCTACTAGCCAATGGTTATTATGTTATAACAGAGGACAGTTTTACCACAGATGACGAGGGTAATGTCACCCTGACTCCC